CGACGTCGAGCGTCGAGAGACCTTCGACGCAGTGCTGGTGGCCTCGGGGCACAACGGGTTTCCCAACGTGCCCACGTTCAAGGGCCAGGAGAACTTCAAGGGCGATATCGTGCACACCCACAGCCTCAAAGTCCCAGAACAGTTCAGGGACTGGAGGGTCGCCGTCGTGGGCATAGGCAACTCGGGCATCGACGCTGCCATCGACGTCTCCCGTGTGGCAGCAGAGGTGAGTCTTACATCGTTATCGCCTACTTCTACACACTTACAGAAGCCAGCACGCAAGTCCGTACATTTTGGATTATTTTACTTCGAGTTCGGAAGCGTCTTTCCGGGTTTAATTTTTCGTAGATATTGGTGCTTTTCGACTCAGTTTTCGGTGTTGGACAAAATATCGGCGTTTATTAAGAGTGATCTTGAAGAAAACGGGACGGGAGCGTGGAACCCTCCAGCTTCAAGGACATAGGAAGTCGCCGCAGTAGTATTGCCAAGAATGAAAGAGAATGAGGCAGAAGAAAACGAAAGGGGCTAAAGATTTCATGGGAGCAAACTTGTGCCAGAAACGAAAAAGAAGAACGAACATCGAGGAAGCAGCAGCGAGCGTCGACGGGGGCAGCAGCAAGCGTTGGTACATCGGCGTAACAGCTGGCTGTCGCGAGGGAGAATCAGTGAATAAATCGTCAAAACTGAGCTCGGCTCCTTATCTACTATGCTCGTCATCTCGAATATTCTACCTCTAATGTTCGGGAAAAAGCAAGGGCAAGGCTGACCAGACAATGTCATTCTAGCTTCCTCATGGTTTGCGCTCTCTGTAAAAGTGTACGCGAGGCTTCCTGATAAACGGGGATGCGTACCTTCTCGATCATTCGCGCAGCACTACCACTACCTCCCCCTTTCAAAGCACATCGCCCCGATGCAAGAGAAAACAAAACAAAATAATGATAAGCTAAAACGTCCCGTGGAAAACGGAAACTCTTCAGTGTACCGAGCGTGAGCGGCTTGAGCCTCACGACGTGAACGACCACGGGTCGTCATCGGCGTCGTGATGATGTTTGCATTCTGTCAGACACCACTTCGTAGTTGAGCTCCTAGAGGCGACGAAGAACCTTGTGCGGTCAGAAGTACCCTTTCAAAAGTTTTTCGCTGAAGCCGCAGTGACGAATCGGTGTCCTCACCCACACCCTGTCTCCGTCGTCGCAAGGTAGTCGCTGAATTCAGAGAGGAGGTATTTGAGCTGCCGTCATTCCGCGGCACTGGTGTTGGGGTTAACGTCGAGCAATATGGTAGAAAGTTGGGCAGGTTAGTGGTACATGTTTGACGTAAAAATAAAAAAGCGAAAAAAAAAACAAAAAAAAACGGAGTACACGAAGACGAAGTGTATATGCAGCAGGCTTGAACAGGCATCACAGATGCCGGGGAGCGGTGACTTAATGTTTTTTATGACCGTGACGCTTGTCGATTCGCGTGTTTTCTTTTAATAAATCACTTGAGAATCAGCGCTATGTTTGTACACTTTGTTTTCTTGTACTCTGTTTTTTTGCGCTGTTTTACTTTTTCTTCAAACAATATCGTCGAGCTGCGGCGGCTGTGTACTGTACGGTTGAAATGGCGAGGGTCCATCAGATATCGGGGCGATCTCGGCGGCGTTCCGGAGTTCCTCGATGTGGCCTACAGCGGTACCTTTCCTGAGATCCTGCGCCACCTATCGAATGTTCGTCACGAGGACCACAGTGCGTTCATCTTGCAACTCTGGTACGCCCCCTGCGACGCCTACTTCTCTTCCAAGAAGCAGTTGGACGTTGCCTACCAGAAGAGCTTCCCTGCAGGCAACTGCATTGTTAACGACGGGAACAAAGACACTCGACAGCGGCGGCAGGTTCACCTGGTCCGCAATGACTCGGAGGGTTGCTGGAGTCGTTTTGGATCCCTCCGGAGGCAGGACGGGTTTTCGCAGCGTCAACCTGTTTGCTCCAGGGTCGATCACGGCGCCGTACTAATTCCATGCCATGGATGACGTCTCTCGCACAGTCCTGAAGGACTTAGAACTTGACTGGGCAGATTTCTCCATAAATTTCGACGCGAGCAGTGCACGTCCCAACAGGCATGATGAGGTGTCCCCCGGCGGTGCGAATTTGCGGGCCGTTCTAGGGCATCGTGACTTTACGAAGGCGGCGAGAGAGCTTCCGACTCGAAACAGAGTAATCTGCTTTTGTATCCACAAGTGCTGACGCGTCGTGGCCGTCGATATCAACGTTGAGGTTGCTGGGCGCCGTTCCAGAATCGCCGTTCCAATGCTTGTCGTCGCTAGCGTGGGGGCCCTCCGACGTTTGTTGAAGATGTTTCCTACAGTCGGTCTTCGGCAGCTCCAACTCAACAGGTCTCCGCGCATAGTTTCCCCGACGAGATCGGGGCGACAAGCTTTCTCGGCGATTCCCCCCAAGTACCCATCACATCTTATGGATCTGCAATCCCCATCCCCCACCCCTCCCTAACCCCAACTCCCTGTCCTTCCCCCCCCCCCCCCCCCCCCCAACCCTGAGTTGCTGACTAGGGCCACCACGTTATCAAACCAAGTTTACCTGGTTGCGTACATCAAGTCTTTTCTGGAGTACGCCACCAGAGGGAGCCTTGACTGAGGCCCACTGCTCATAATCTTTGGGCCTAATAAAGTCTCATCCCTCTCTCTCTCTCTCTCTCGGCGAGACCTACGAAGTGGCGACGTCGGACGTCGCGGTGTCGGCGAACGGGATACCCCTGGGAAAAGTGGGTGCTCGTGACGGCGGTCTATGCAGGTACTCCTCGATGTCCCGCGGTCGCTCTCCGCTCCTCGGGCGGGGCACGTTCTGTGGGAACCTACGAAGCCCAAGCTGCCGGTAGGGGCATCGCCGGTACACCTGGTCGGCTTCCCCGCATTGGTCGCACAGCGGGCGGTGGTCAGCCGTGCGCCACACGTCCGTCTTCCTTGGCGCCGGGGGTTCGGCTCGATAGTATGGAGCTTGTTCCCCAGTGCGCTTAGCGTAATGCGAAGGGCTTCCCGTCGAAGGGGCGCCGGGTGCTGGTACTAGCGCGTTTCTGGCGGCGGTCGTCGGGCCATGGAGGCGTAGCTCAGTGTCGGTTCTCCTGCGGCGCAGGGTTGACAGGAGCCCGGTTCTCGATAGCTCTCGGAAACACTTCTCGCACGACTTTGGCGATTGGCAGCGATGCTGGGGGATTGCCAACAAACATCAGCTTCGTGAGTTCTTCGCGAACAACGTCGCGGATAATCACGCGAAGCTAGTCGGCGCTGGTGCTGAGCACCAGCGGACCGATGCCAGAGTTGAAACGTGCAGAGCTGATGATAGTGGCGAGCTCGGGCCACTAGCTCCCCTGGATGTTTGTTTCTTCAGCAAGAAACCCGTCGGCTTTTGCTGGAGGGTTGCGGATGAGGGTACCGGATGAGGGTACCGGATGAGGGTACCGCTTCTCGTGAGAAATTCACAACTTTTTCTCGTCGGTGGCTTGCGGGTCGGCGAATGCAGTTAGGCGTATCACATCTTCAACGAAGCTGGTTATTCTTTTGTTGGGGGCGTAATCGGTGTTTGAAACAAAACCTTCGCCTGCTGCCGTCAGTGTTGGCTAGCATTGGTCTGCTTCAACTCTGCCACGAAGATATCCCACCACGTGAGCCAAGCCTCGTGGTTCTCAAATCAGTACCTCGCAGTATCCTTCTGCGAAAAGTAGAGGCTCCGCAAGTAGTCAATTGGTTGTGGCGTGCCATGCGCTTGTTGTCTTGTATCTAGTCCTCGATGTCCTCATGGACCTCGCCGGCAAGGGGTACCGGCGCACGAGGAGCGACGGGAAGGTAGTCGATGAGAGCGGCGGCCGGAGCCTGCGACGATTGGTTATTGATTGTCGGCTTCGTCGACTAGGGAAGGGAATTGGGGGGAGGGGGGGGGGGTCTTTTCCGGCAATAGACCAAATCCCGGGGGCAAACCTTGAAGACAACGGCTTCCTCGAGTCTCGGTCGTTTCCACGGATAGATTTCTTGAGCCGAGGACTGGGCTCGCACTTGGAGGGATACTGTCAGGTTCGTTCGGGAAGGTGAGAGAGAATCATGGAAGCCAGAGCCAGCGGGAGAACTCAAACGTACTTTACTGTAAGAAGAAAAAAAAAAAAAAAGGAAAAAAAGAAAAAAAAAAACTGGAATACGATCAGCGTCGGATAAATGAGATAAATATTGCATTCAAAAGTAAAGATATATACTGTCAACACAAATAGTCATCCCCCTGTATAGTCACCATGGGATGTGGGTGGATCGTCGTTGGGCGGATCGTCGGAGAATGATGTCCGGCCCGCTGGTGCCCTTCGGACCAAGATGACGATGCCGAGCGCGGTGATCCAAGCTTGGCGGAGTCGTTGCGAGGACGGAACGTAGCCGACCGGCTCAAGCCTGGCGGAGTCGATTTCGAGGACGGGACATAGCCGACCCGAGCTCCGCAACCCCAGAAGACAGCCGTCAAATCTCGCGCCTCTTCGGATTGCTTCGAACCCCTCTCGCGCCTCTTTATTCTTCTTCTTTTTTCATGCTGCCACAAATCTCTCCTTCGTTCCTTTCCTTTTTCCTTGTCTTATAAATCATGACAATACCCCCGAACTACGAGAAGTTTATTCCCAGAAACTTCTTTCTTCACCTTATCTTCTGCCCAGGGAATCCTTCCGTGATGGTCGACCCAAAATTGAGGCATGTAATCCAGCAGTTCCGCACCTCGTCTTCATCGTCAACTTGGCCACTCTGAACTCTTGCAGGAGTCACTTTTGTTCGGTTGATGCACCATGCACAGCCACACCGACGCGAATGCACGGTACCGTTACACACACGCACGCGCGCACACAGAAGGAACGCACTTCATGAAAAAAAAAATGAAACAGACACCAAAAATATAAAAAATACAGATTGGACATTCGATACACTCGATTTTTATCAATTAGTTGCCACCTATACAGCAAAAACAAATAAATAAAGCCTAAACGCGACTTAAATAGTCCGCTCCAACGTTGTCCCTGCCTTTTATGTATTCTACACTGAACGTGTGGTCTTGTAGAGCCATGCTCCACCTCATTACTCGGCTGTTAGTGTGTTTCGCCTTGTTGAGAAACTCTAGCGGCTGGTGATCAGTCTGAACGCGGAAGGCTTTTCCATAAAGAAACAGCTTAAACCTAGTGACTGCCCAGACCAGTGCAAGACATTCCTTCTCTACAGTAGCAAAGTTCCTTTCGGAGCTACTGAGTTTACGACTCGCGTATGCAACCGGGTGAAGTATTCCACCTCTCTCCTGTAGTAAAACTGCTCCTAAGCTTGCTTCAGAGGCGTCCGTGCGCAGCACGAATTCCTTTTCGGGGTCCAGTGATAGCAGGATGGGAGGTTGTCCAAGTCAACTTTTCAACTCCGTGAAGGCCTCCTCTTCTCTTGGGCTCCACTCAATATCATTGCGGGCTCCCTTTTTCGTTAGATCCACTAACGGCGCTGCGATATCTGCGTAGTTTGGTACGAACTGTCTATAGAATCCCGTAAGCCCGAGGAATGACCGAACTTGGCGCTTCGTTTTGGGTCTTGGTGCGTCTTGAATCCTTTCCAGGATCTTTGGGTCAGGAGCGATATTCCCCAGTCCAATTTTATGTCCTAAGAAGTCGATTTCGCTGAACCCTATTTGGCATTTATTTGGTTTGATCGTAATGTTGGCTTCGCAAAGACGCTCAAAAATCATCCTGAGCGTTTCCACATGCTTCTCCCACGAGCTCGTCGCGATCAAGATATCATCTATGTAGTGATATGCATCTTGAATACCGTCTAGAACCTTTCGCATTAACTTGGTAAAAGTAGCAGAGGCGGTCTTGAGGCCAAAGGGCATATATCTGAACTGGTAGTGCCCGCTTGTTGACGAAAACGCCGTCTTCTCTTTTGCGTCTGCTTCCATGGGAATTTGCCAGTAGCCCTTAGCTACATCTAATTTCGAGAAAAACCTCCTGTGTCCCGCTTTAGCAAATGTCACATCGATTCTGGGTATTGGCTCTACATTTGTCATTGTCGCGTCATTCAATCGTCGGTAGTCGACACAAAATCTGTTTGATCCATCCTTTTTCTTCACAATCACGACCGGAGCGTTGTACGACGATGTACACTTCTCAATTACCCCCAGCTCGAGCATCTTGCTGATTTCATCCTCGACCACATCTTGTACTGCCAGAGGTATTGGGTACTGCCTCACGTATATCGGCCGCGTTGTTGTGAGATGAAGATCACACGTCATAAGATTTGTCCTCCCGGGGACATCAGAAAATATGTTTTCGAATTTTCTTAGTAATTCTTGCACTTGGGCTATCTTCTCGCTCTCTAGGTTCTTATTAATGACCACATCCTCACACCCTTGCTGTCTGGTCCAGATTGGCATCGGGATGTCGCATTCTTCGGCATCAGACTCGTTTTCGTCAGTTTCTTGTTTATTCACCACCGCATTGCAAAGTGGTTGATGTTGTGAGGTTTCTTTCCTTTCTTCATATTTCTTGAGCATGTTGATATGGAATAACTTCTTCTTGCCTCCCACCTCTAGCTCGTAGTCCACTTCATTCCTTCTTGCTGTTACAGGAAAAGGTCCTTTCCACTGCATGATCATTTTGTTATGATCGGTGGGGAGAAGAATGAGTGCTTGATCTCCCTGTTGCATCCTTCGGTTAGAGCTCCTTCTGTCGTAGTCGCCTTTGTATTTCGCCCTCGCTTCTTCCAGGCAAGTGTGTGCTAACTTGCACGTGTCCTCCAGCTTTTCTCTTAGCTCCAGCACGTATCCGTACGAAGTCTTCAGATCTTGCTTGAGAGCTTCGTTTGACCACATCTCTCTCAGAATAGTCAAAGGTCCTCGCACTCTTCTCCCGTAGAGTAACTCGAAAAGCGAAAACCTGAGGCTCGACTGTGGAACCTCCCTGTAGGCAAACAGTAGAGCTGGAAGGTATCGGTTCCAGTCCTTGGGCCTCTCCTGGCACATCCTTCTTAGCATTTGCTTGATTGTGCCGTTGAATCTCTCCACCAAGCCGTTGCTCATGGGATGGTACGGGGTGGTCAGGAGGTGCTTCATTGATAGAAGTCGACTCACCTCCCTCATTAGTTCTGAGGTAAAGCTGGTCCCGCGGTCGCTAAGGATCTCTTGTGGCACACCGTACCTCGTGAACATCTCCACCAGTGTTTCGGCCACCTGCTGGGATCCAATGCTCTTCAACGCTACCGCATCCGGGTATCTCGTAGCCATATCCACCATTGTCAGTATGTACCTGCTTCCCGAGGTCGCGATCGGTACAATGGGGCCAATTATGTCTATCGCGACTTTCTGAAAGGGCGTCTCGATAGTCGGCATGCTTCCTAAGGGTGCCTTGCCCTGCTTGCCCTTGGGTACTGTGCGTTGACACACATCGCACGACCGAACGTATCTCTTGACCTCGCTCTGCATACAAGGCCAAAAAAATTCTTCCGACACGAGGTTGAGCGTGTTCTTCATGCCCTGGTGTCCTGACATTATGCTGTCATGTGCTAGAGCCAAGACGGCGCTCCTGAACCTTCTCGGGAGTACAAGTTGCTCTATCCTTCTGCCGGATGAATATTCAACGGCCCTATGTAGCAAACCATTCTTGAGAAAAAACTGGAACTTCGTCCTGCCCTTGTGTTTTCTGGTCGTTTCCCCTATCTTACCAAAACACTTCATGAGAGTTTTATCCCCCTTTTGCTCCATGGCGAGCTCCTCGGTTGTCGCATCGACCACTGCCGCCTGCGATACGTTCAAAGGTCGGTCTGGTCTTTCCATTTGACCATCTGCTCCCTTCGCCCTCGCGGACGCAACTTCTGCTGGTTTGTCTTTCCGGAGCTCGTCAGTACATTTAGACAATCTCGGTGTCATGCGACTATTGAAGCTGACTTCAACGGCGTTCGGAAGTGCTTCCGGCTTCGACGTTGGCTTGGCCAAAACTTGACCTTGACTCTCTTCGTTTTTAATTTCCCAGTCTGGGTTTGGATCATTGGCTTCCCGCATTTGGGGTATATTCCCGAGTACCAGATCATAGAGAGGATTACTTACACATTTTGCCGTCACCTTCCCTGTATAGTAGGGTGTTCGTACAACTATATCCGCCTCGGGCAGATATCGAACGGTGCGGTCTAGCAGAAACACCGGACTTGACTTTCCTGTCAGGCTCTCTCGGGGAACCAACTCCTTACGGACCACGACGGTGTTACACCCGGTATCCCTTAATACCGTTATCTTGTGCTCCCCGAGACGGCCTTCCACGACCGGCATGTTCTCTACTAAGAACTTTGGAGGTGTTCCCATGGCCGCGTTTACTACCGGGATTTTGTCACCATTATCCAGTGTTACGTAGGAGTCGTCAGGCGCGTCGACAGCCCCTGTTGACGCAGTCCATAAGCACGAGACTTGCTGCTTCTCGTTCTGCCTTCCCCTGCAGTTTTCCGCCCTATGACCAGCGCGGCCACAATTCCAACACGCCACTGTTTTCTTGCCTTGCGCGTTGCCTCTGCAATTTTCGGCCTTATGTCCAGCCTTCCCACAAATGAAGCAGCGGATAGCTCTTCGCGTTTCTCCCCTTGCGTGAGTGTCTCCGTTTCCAGCACCTTGCCTGGTTGTCACCTCGTCTGACTTTTGCCTAATCGAGCTGGATGGTGTCTGGGCTTCTAGGAACAGGTCTGCCTTTGCTGCTACGTCTTCCAAAGTCTGAGAATCACGCTCTCTAAGAAAGACGGCCAGTTTGCTGGAGCAGGTCAACATGAACTGTTCCACCAGGACCTGGTCTCGTAATGCCTCGAAGGTCTTCTCAACTCCAGCTATCTCGAGCCATCGGTCAAAAAATCCGGCCCATCGGGCAGCGAATTGTCTGCGCGTTTCGCCCTTCTCGGGTTCGGCGTTGCGAAACCGCTCGCGGTACCCCTCCTTAGTATACCTAAATCTTTGGAAGAGCGCTAGCTTGACCTTTCCGTAATCCAACGCATCCGCCGGTGCCATCCGGCCAACCACAGACAGTGCCTCCCCGGTCAAGCATAAGCTTAGTGTGGTGGCCCATTTCTCCAAAGGCCAGCTCAACCCTGTTGCTGTACGCTCGAAGCGCAGTAGATACGAGTCTAGATCATCCCTCCGTTCGTCGAACTGCGGGATTAACTTGTGGGGACTCCCTCGAATTACTAGGCCTGGCGCTTCCCCGCGCTCGTCTCCCACAGTTCCTGCACTTTCATGACTAATCTCACGTGCAGCGATTTTCAGCTGCAGAATCTCCCTTTCCTTTTCTAATTTAGCGCACTCTGCAGCTAACGCTCTTTCGGCTGCTTCCCGGTCTTCCCTTACGTTATCACGTTCCTCAGCTCTCTCGGCTCTCACGCGCGCTTTCTCTTCATCCGCCCGAACTCTTTCTTCCGCTACCCATTTCTTTGGCTCGTCCCCAGCATACCCCAATCCCTTACCCAACGCGATTATTCGTTCTAGCTCCATATTAACACAACGGACTGAGCTTCTCCTCAACTCTCTCACTTCCCGGAAAAACGCAACTAGGATTTAATGGGCCTAGACGAATCCTGGCAGGCTCGCCAATTTGTCAGGTTCGTTCGGGAAGGTGAGAGAGAATCATGGAAGCCAGAGCCAGCGGGAGAACTCAAACGTACTTTACTGTAAGAAGAAAAAAAAAAAAAGGAAAAAAAGAAAAAAAAAACTGGAATACGATCAGCGTCGGATAAATGAGATAAATATTGCATTCAAAAGTAAAGATATATACTGTCAACACAAATAGTCATCCCCCTGTATAGTCACCATGGGATGTGGCGGGTGGATCGTCGTTGGGCGGATCGTCGGAGAATGATGTCCGGCCCGCTGGTACCCTTCGGACCAAGATGACGATGCCGAGCGCGGTGATCCAAGCTTGGCGGAGTCGTTGCGAGGACGGAACGTAGCCGACCGGTTCAAGCCTGGCGGAGTCGATTTCGAGGACGGGACATAGCCGACCCGAGCTCCGCAACCCCAGAAGACAGCCGTCAAATCTCGCGCCTCTTCGGATTGCTTCGAACCCCTCTCGCGCCTCTTTATTCTTCTTCTTTTTTCATGCTGCCACAAATCTCTCCTTCGTTCCTTTCCTTTTTCCTTGTCTTATAAATCATGACAGATACGCTTCAAGGGTTGCGTTGCCCAGCACCTCCACCAGAAATGTCACGAATGACAGACGTTGAGGCAGAAGAAAACGGATTGAAATATAAATTTCATGGGGGTCCAATCTGTGTCATAAACGAAAAGAAAAGAACACCACGTCGAGAAAGCATCAGCGAGTGTCGACGGCGGCAGCATCAAGCGTCGGAGCGTCTGTGTAACAGCTGGCTATTGTGAGAGAAAATCAGTGAATGAATCGGCAATACTGCGCTCGGCTCCTTCTCTACTATACGTGTCATCTCGAACATTCGACCTGTAATGTTCGGGGAAAAGCTAGGGCGATACTTACTAGACAAGGTCATTTGAGCTTCCTCATGGTTTACTTTTTTCTGTTGTTCGTTTGTTTTACTTGTCCGTTGTTTTTAGCGCTTCTGCTCCCGAAAATATGTATCAGTAAACTAGCCCAAGTCATACCCTACTACCTTATCGTTTACGCGCGGAGTAAAAGTGCACGGCGAATCTTCTATATGAACGTAGAAGCATATCTTCTGAATCATGCACGCGGCAGTATTTACAAATTTTTCTGGTATCTTTATAAAGTAAGAACAAAATAGGGGTACAGTTTCCGAACTAAGAAGCAATTTTGAGGGCAGTTCATTGCGGGTTGTGCCGAGTATAACGTGACAATAATGCTGTAGTTAAAAAACTCTGCGAAGCAAGTTGTTGTCTAATTAAAAGACTGCTCCAATTCTGCGTTTTATATCTTAAAGCAGTGCTTCTCAACCATCAATGTTTTGCGGACCCCTTGTGGATTGGCGGAGATGATGGAAGACCCCATTCGTGGTGAGACGAGAAGAAAGGTATCGGTTGCATATAATACTGATTTAAATAATGTACATAACTAAGTGTTAATGTGAGGTACACCTCTTTTATTGAGATACGCACGATAAAACTGGCCCAAAAACTGAAACATTTCTTCTCGATCTGAAAAAATACAAATTTTATTGCAGGGCTTGACCGATGAGGCAGGGCTTCGCGGACTCCTAGAATGCCTTCGCGGACCCCCATCTGAGAACCACTGTTTTAAAACATGAAATGCTTTTTAACGCTACCCCTATTCCCAAAATTTGTTCTTCTGTCCTTCGTCCGTCCTTGCATTTCCCGCTAAATTTAGCGAGAAACTGAATTTGTGTACAGGTCACTTGATGTCAATTGATGTGACGTAACCTAACGTCACGTGAGGGTGGGGGACGAGCTGACCCCCCTACCGTAGCCATGGCGTAGAAGCACGGATCGTCCGCCGAGGCTACGAACGTCGGCCACCCACCCGCTAAATGGAATTAAAGGTCCCCCGACCTTGACGCTCGGTTTCACATCCGGGGTACGACGTTCGGGAGAGGTTCCACAAACCCCGCTAATCCTGGCTGCGAACACCTAACCGCGAATCCTCGTCATTCGGAGGGGGAAAGGCCACATGGGTGGCGTTGTTCCACTAGTGGATTCAGCAAAAAAATTGACGTCACGTGCCCTGGGCACCCAGTTCTCCCGCTCAATGTAATGGGGAAAGTGATCAAAATATAGGTTCTTCTTAACTCCCCGAAACGACGGCTTGTCTTCTAAACAAGTTTAGTTTGTCACACCTTGAATTTACGCATTATAAACATTACGCATCATTTGATTTAGGTGATGAAGGTCGGTGACAATTTTATTTAAAATTTTTATATATGGTGCTTGAGACTTGAGACTGTAGTTTGAAAACGGTGCACCCGGGTGATGATGATGATGATTAGGAGTTTATTGGCACAGCAGCAACGAGGGCCATAATGCGCCAAACGTAACGTATTTAGAGCATATTATAACAAAAGTTTACTTTGAGGCTACATATTTACAAATGCTATAAATATCCAGTTTGTTTTTAGAAGTCTAAGACACGGCTGAATGGAACTAAAGGTTTATCACCAAGCAAAAAAGAGGGATGAAATGGGAGATGATCCCCAAAAGGTCGAGAAAACATGATTGACGGAGTGGTTGATGGGACGAACAATGCCACAAAATGTGCAACACGGTCAGACGCTCTCCACAATGTTCACATAGTGCAACATCCTCACCACGAAGCAGATACTGATGTGTCACGCGAGAGTGACCTATTCTTAGACGGCACAAAAGAACCTCCATACGACGTTCCCTGTTGTAAGAGGTCTACCAAACGCCCAGAACGGGCTTGATAATGTGAAGTTTGTTGTTGCTCTCTGTATCCCATTCCAGCTGCCATTTGAGAAAAATAGATTTCCTCAGAAGTGGTCTCGAATCTTGGTAAGGTAAGCAATTGAATCTTATTGACGAGCCTCCGGCAGACACGACCAATTTATCCGCCTCTTCATTGCCCAAAATCCCAACGTGGCTTGGCACCCAGCAGAACTTAATGTCCCGACCACGTCGCAAGGCGCTATTGATTTTACCTTGCAGATGTTGTGCAAGGTGGTTCTTTGTGGGCATCAGGGAGGACACAGCCAATAAGGCACTTTGTGAGTCGACAAAAATTACAGCTTTCATTATACTATTGTCGAGTATATGTTCGACCGCTAATAAAATAGCATAAAGCTCTGCGGTGAAAATGCTTGCCCTACGGTCCACTTGTGTGGCTTTGCTGTAGGAGGCGGAATAGAAAGCACACCCTACAAAAGACGACAATTTGGACCCAACTGTATAAAACTCCCGGTAGTCTGAATATTTTTGTTGCAAGGAGAGAAACTCCTGCAGGAGGATTTGTGGTGAAATGACCCTCTTACTGTATTTTGCGAGTGACCAGTCACAAAAAATCGACAGAACATCCCAAAGAGCAACCCTACGGGTGTTTTTAAGCAGGGGAATCTCATGAAGGGGGATATTAAGGGATTGAAAACTACTTTGCAAACGGAGGCTTAATGGTCTAACAATGCTCGGCTTGTTTTCGAAAAGCTGTGAACTTCTGCAAGTATGAAAGGCACTGTAGGAGGGATGTTTTGGATTTGAAAATACTTTGTAAGCATAAGAGACGCTGAGGTACTGCCTCCGTTTCTCGAGGGACATTTGATTCGTATCAACATACAAACTCTTCACAGGAGATGTGCGAAATGCACCTGTAGAAAGTCGTAGTCCAAGGTGGTGTATTGGGTCAAGCATCTTAAGAGCAGATGGCCGCGCTGACCCATATACTACTGCACCATAGTCGAGGTGGGATCGAACTAAGGAGTTATACAGTTGCAAAAGACAGCGCCTATCAGAACCCCACGACATATGCGACAGCACCTTTAGGGTGCTTGATGACATCAAGCATTTCCGTGTTAAAGTTTTCAGATGGGGCACAAAGGTAAGTTTCTTGTCAAAAATCACACCCAAAAATTTGTGTTCTTGCTGGACTGATATTTCAATGCTATTAAGATGCAAGGAAGGATCAAGGGACAATCCCAGGCGTAATGAAAAAGGAACACAGACTGTTCTTTCAGGCGAAAATTTGAAGCCATTTTCGTCTGCCCCCTTACACGTTCTATTGTTTGTAAGTTGCAACTGTCGTTCACAACTGGAGAGGTTACAGGAAGACACAGAGATTTGCACATCATCCACATATAGAGAGTAAGTTACTGATGGTGGCATAACCTTAGCTAGACTGTTAACCTTTACAGAAAAGAGGGTAACGCTCAGCACTCCTCCTTGAGGAACACCATTTTCTTGAGAGAAAACATCTGACAGTGTGGAGCCCAATCGGACTTGAAAAGTTCTTTCGCTGAGAAAGCTCTGTATCCACTGAAGCATGCGGCCTCACACATCACAGTCGTACAAGTCACGAAGTATTCCGTACCTCCATGTGGTATCATATGCTTTGCGTAAATAAAAAAAAACAAAAAACACTGAGACAC